GCACATTCCATCACAACCACTGCAAACTTAACAACAGTATTTACTAGGTGTGTGTGTGCCAGAATGTCTCTCATGCTCAGGCTCATTCATCTCAGGGCTTAAATTGGCTCTCTCAGTGTTATTTTAATCTGTACAGACCCAATTACACACAACATACAAATGGTTCAAAGATATGCACATTATAACATGGCTGAGGATGCAGTTTCTGTCAGGAATAGCATTGTTAACTGTGATTGAAAAGACATGGATCTTGCTAAACAGATAGGATACATTTTTATACCTATTGAATTTTGGAGGAAAGAAATACGCAACAGGTAAAATTTGAATTCCTCTGGAAGCCCCTGGGACCTTCTCAATAAGAGGACACCTACAAATAATGATACGTAGTAGTAAATCCACTTTACAGATTAATAAACCAAGGGTGCAAGGGTTACAATAGGCTACACAAAATGATCTGCAAGCATCCCTGACCCATGAATTGAGCATGTCCTTTTGCTTTATCTCATATACTCAGACACAGTTGCCATTCTTTGCCTAAAAACAGTTTGATAAGTGAGAGAATACTGATTCAGCTCCTCACCAAAGGCCCAAGAGAGCTAAATGCCTAGTTTTGCACTGAAGAACAAAAAGCCCATGCATTACATAGGAGCAATTCATTTCATTTTTCCTACCCCACAGCAGCCTTCTCTGTTCGAGTCTTTGGAGCGCATTCTAGCAGTTAAAAATTCTGGCAGTTAACAACCGATATAACATGGGTTTGGAACAATCAGATTAGACAGCGGGAGCTCCTTTCTGCGGGCCCCCTGCCATGCCAAGGTCTAACTCTTTAGTTTCTAGATAAAGAGGCAGTCTCAAGGGTCTTAGGACCCACCAGGAAATTTTGTGGCAAGGATATGTTCGGAGGGCTTGGGTCAGCAGATATATACCATTTGGTAAGGAGGAATTTCATTATCTTAACAGCGGTTCTGGTTATCTGAGTGAATATTATCCCTGTGTCTAATACACGGGATTCTATTGATATAATTCTAGCACTTATCCTATTGACTGGAGAGTTGGATTTTTGACCTAGTGGTTTTTGTTCTGGTTATTACATATTTTCCCTGTCTCTTATTAAAATAAAAGATCTTGCTGAAAATTAATGGAGAAGAGAGACAGAGAAAGATGGGGGAGGGAAGATGGGAGGGAAAAAGGTTGAATCAGAGAGAAGAGAGAGAAAGGCTGGTGTATCTAGACAATGATTCCAATTACATAAACAATGCCCCCCCCCTCCCAACCTCTCCTAATATTCCAGGCTTGCAAAGGACTTGCAGCCACAGGTTTCTGCCACTCACAATCAGTGCCTCCATTTATCAATTTTACCTTGCACAGTGGTCTGCAGAACACAAATGCAAAGATACAGGAATAATGATTATCTGAGCACAGCCTCCCCTTGACGGTAATAACTGTTGGCTGGAGCAGGTGCTGAGATGCAATAAAATTCATGTTAAGCAGCATTTCTATTCTGTAATCTATCAGATGTACTAAGATATCTCTTGGTGGCATGTGGCAAACCATCAGTCAATTCTATTTGGCTATTCAATGAGCAGAAAAGGAAATGCACTTCTGTCACAAGCAAAAACTTGTCCTAAGCCAATTCTGCCGGATGCCTTGAGGTTAACTCAACTTCCCAGCACTCACTTTGAGTTGTGAGAAGTCTGAGTCCCACAGCTATCTGATAGTGAGTTCTGAATCTTTCATGCCATTAACCTTTACTAAATCTAAAGGCAAAATACTCCATTTTATTTGGTCTCAGACTGAATTTAATAGCTGTTGCCAGGCTGACAGTCTGAAAGATGGAACCATGTAGCTCTGGCCAGTGATATCCATAGGAACATTCAGACAGGGAATGGCCAAGGTGGCATCATTACATACGGTACTGGAAGCTCCCCATATCTTTTAAACTATTTCTACTTCCTAAGCTAGGGACCCACTCTAGTGAGATGTCATACCTTTTAGCTTAAGGTTTCATCCCCTTTCAAAATGTTTACACTGTTCAGATGAGTGACTCTAAACTTTATCAGTCATTTAAGCTATAATGAAATTGGGTCTATCAGATATTTTCCTGAAAGAAGCTTCTGTAAATAAAGAGATAAGAAATACATGAAGATACTTATAACTTGAAAGATAAATACGCCTGAGGGAGAAGATGACAAATGGATGAGCAAAAAACATACTGTTGTATAACTGTAACTCACATTTTTTGCCTAAATGGCCTTGTGCCTAGCTTTGATTAAAGGAGAATATCCCCTTCCCCCCAGCTAAATCAACTTTGTCTGTAAACCTTTTTCCCAAAGAGACTCATTAAGCAGGACACTATTTCATACTGTGACAGAAGAGGCTAGTGGCTTTCTACATGCCTTCTCCCCTTCTTCCGTACTAAATAGCAGGGGCTTTAGTAGGACACATTGCTCCTCAGAATAAAAAAAATAGATTTTCCTGAATCCCTTACAGCTATGTACAGCACATGCCTAAGTCTGGCCATTAAAATGTAAGTATTTGGAACTTCCAGGAAGACTTTAAAGGAAGTGGATTCACAGGGGTTGGGGCCCCTTTGCTGTTTCCTACTTTCTCCTGTTACCAGCCTGGCTAGAGTTTTAGTGATCATCTTACACTCCACGATCAGTCATTAACATCATCCTTAGCATACTCTTAAAACTCTTTGACCCTTTTCTCACATAACCTTATTGTCTTACACCTTGAGAAACTCAGATCTTCGCTGAATCTGTGCCTGCGTCCACACAAATAAACTGGAGTACACAAAAGACACAAAACCATAATAAATGTTATCATCTTAAATTCATACTACCAACTCTATTTTAATTTTTTATTTTTTAAATTGGGGTAAAATATACATAACTTAAAGTTTACCATTTTAACCATTTTTGAGAATACAGTTCAGTGGCATTAAGTATATTCACACTGTTAATATAACCATCATCACTACTTTCCATTTCCAGAACTTGTTTCAACTTGCAAAACTGAAACTCTCTACCCATTAAACAATAATTCCCCATTCTCCACTCTCCCCAGCCCCAGGCAACCATTATTCTACTGTCTGTCTTTATAGTTACCACGGGGGATTATATTTAACATTCTAAAGTTACAACGTTCTAATTTGAGTTTATACCAGCTTAAATTCAGTAACATACAAAAACTCTGTTCCAATACAGCTCTATCCCTAACCCCTCTCTGTTATTGATGTGACAAACTACATCTTTACACATTGTGTGTCCAAAAACATAAACTAATAATTATTGTTTTTATTCATTAAATAACACAGAAAACAAAAAGTATAGTTACAAATCATATTAATAATATTTAATTGTCCATGTGAATACATTTACCAAAGACCCTTATTTTTTTATACAACTTTGAGTTACTGTCTAGAGTAACTAGACAGTAGAGTCGTTTCATTTCAAACTGAAGATCTCCCTTTAGCATTTCTTGCAAGGGCAGGTCTAGTGGTAATGAACTCCCTGAGCTTTTGTTTATCTGGGAATGTCTTAATTTTTCCTTTTTTTTTTTTTTTTTTTTTTTTGCGGTACGCGGGCCTCTCCCGTGGTGGAGCACAGGCTCCAGACGCGCAGGCTCAGCGGCCATGGCTCACGGGCCCAGCCGCTCTGCAGCACGTGGGATCTTCCCGGACCGGGGCACGAACCCGTGTCCCCTGCATCGGCAGGCGGACTCTCAACCACTGCGCCACCAGGGAAGCCTTTTTCCCTCATTTTTGAGTGATAGTTTTGCTCGATTCTTGATTGATAGCTTTTATCCTTCCACAATTTAAATACGTCAATGCATTGCCATCTGACCGCCAAGGTTTCAGATAACAATCTGCTGATAATCTTATTGGGGATTCCATTGTATAACTCTCTGTGGCTTTCAAGATTCTCTCTGTGGCTTTGGCTTGCAACTGTTTGATTACAGTGTGCTTCAGTGTAGGTCTCTTTGAATCTACCCTGCTTAGAATTTGTTGAATTCCTTGGATGTTTATATTCACGCCTTTCACGGAATTTGGGGAGTTTGGGGACATTATTTTTTCTCTTCCCATTTCTCTCTCTTTCTCTTCCTGGGACTCCCACAACGTGCATGTTGGTCTGCTTGATGGTTACCAAAGGTCCTTCAGGTTCCGTTCATTTTTCGTCAATCTTATTTTTTCTTTGTACCTCAAACTTGATCATTTCAATTGTCCACCCTATCAACAAGTTCTATGATTTTTCTGGGTTCTTAAATCTGCTTATGAATCCATCGACTGAGATTTTCATTTCAGTTATTGTAATTTTCAGCTCCAGAATTTCTTTCTAGTTCCTTTTTATGTTTTTATCTCTTCTTTAAAAATTTTTTATTACTTACATGATATTTGTTGTTAAAAAATCAAATAAAATTGAAATATTTAACAAATAAATATAAATCCCTCTGATATTTCACCTGAGAAAATGAACACTAACATTTTGGTGTTTCTGAATTTTGTGTCATGCTTTTAATGTCCTAGAATATTTATCTATATATTTTTAATTGAAGTACAGTTGATTTATAATATTATATAAGTTTCAGGTGTACAACATAGCAATTCTATGATTCTATATTTTTATAGATTATACTCCTTTTAAAGTTATTATAAAAATATTAGCTATATTCCCTGTGCTGTACAATATGTCTTTGGAGCTTGTTCATTTTATATGTAGTAGTATGTATCTCTTAATCTCCTACCTCTCTCTAGCCCCTCGCCTCTTACCTCTCCCCACTGATAACCACTAGTTTGTTCTCTATGCCTGTGAGTCTGTTTATGTTTTGTTACATTAATTTGTTTATCTTTTGAGATTCCACATGTAAGTGATAACATAGAGTATTTATCTTTCTCTGTCTGACTTATTTCACTAAGCATAATATGTCCAGGTCCACCCATGTTGTTGCAAATGGCAAAACTTTTTTTTTTTTTGATGTGGACCATTTTTAAAGTCTTTATTGAATTTGTTACAATATTGCTTCTGTTTTATGTTTTGGTTTTTTGGCCGTGAGGCATGTCTTAGCTCCCTGACCAGGGATCGAACCCACCCATCTGCATTGGAAGACAAAGTCTCAAACACTGAACCACCAGGGAAGTCCCTAAAACTTCATTCTTTTTTATGGCTGAGTAATATTCCATTGTGTGTATGTATATGTGTGTGTGTATACACACATACATACACACACATATGGCACATCTTCTTTATCCACTCTTCTGTTAATGGACACTTATGTTGCTTCCATGTCTTGGCTGTTATAAGTAATGCTGCTATGAACATTGGGATGCATGTATCTTTTAAAGTTAGTGTTTTCAGTTCCTTTGGATATATACCCAGGAGTGGAACTGCTGGATCATATGGTAGTTCTATTTTTAGTTTTCTTGAGGAAACTCCATGCTGTTTTCCATAGTGACTGCACCAATTTACATTCCCACCAACAGTGTACTAGAGTTCCCTTATCTCCACATCCTCACCAGCATTTATTATTTGTAGACTTTTTGATGATAGCCATTCTGACAGGTGTGAAGTTCTATCTCATTGTTGTTCCGATTTGCGTTTCTCTGATGATTAGTGACACTGAGCATCTTTTCATGTGTCTGTTAGACATCTGTAGTCTTCTTCAGAAAAATGGATATTCAGGTCTTCTGCCCATCTTTCAATCAGGTTGTTTATTTGATATTGAGAGGAAGTTGCAAGATGGCAGAGTAGAAGGACATGAGTTCATCCCTTCTTACAAAAACACAAAAATCACAACTAACTCCTGAACAATCATTGACAAAAATCCCACTGGAACCTACCAAAAAAGATACCCTACAGCCAAACACAAAGAAGAAGCCACAGGCAGATGGTAGGAGGGGCGCAATCCCAATAAAAACAAATCCCATACCTGCCAGGTGGGTGACTCACAAACTCAAAAATAATTATACCACAGAAGTTCTCCCACAGGAGTGAAAGTACTGAGCCCCACATCAGACTTCCCAGCCTGGGGGCCTGGCAACAGGAGGAGGAGACCCCCGAGAATCTGGCTTTGAAGGCCAGCAGGGTTAGACTGCAGGAATTCCACAGGACTGGGGGAAACAGAAACTCCACTCTTGGAGGGTGCACACAAGGTCTCCTGTGCACCAAGACTGAGGGAAAAAAAGCAGTGACCTCATAGGAGACTGGGCCATACCTACCTGCTAGTATTAGAGGGTCTCCTGCAGAGGCAGGGGGAGGCTGTGGCTCACTGTGGGGACAAAGACACTGGCAGTGGCAGTTCTGGTGAGCACTCTTTGACGTGAGCCCTCCTGGAGGCTGCCAATTCCTCCCCAACACCTAGCCCCATCCAACAGCCTAAAGGATCCAGTCCTGGGAAGCCTCAGGCCAAACAACCAACAGGGTGGGAACACAGCCCCACCCATCAGCAGACAGGCTGCTTAAAGTATTCCTGAGCACAGCCCTGCCCACCAGAGGGACAAGTTCCAGCTCCACCCACCAGTGGGCAGGAACTAGTCCCTCCCACCAGGAAGCCTGCACAAGCCTCTTAGACAGCCTCATCCACCAGAGGGCAGACAGCAGAAGCAAGAAGAACTACAATCCTGCAGCTTGCAGAACAGAAACCACAGTCACAGAAGTCAGACAAAATGAGATGGCAGAGGAATATGTCCCAGATGAAGGAACAAGATAAAACCCCAGAACAACAGGTAAGTGAAGTGGAGATAGGCAATCTTCCAGAAAAAGAATTTAGAGTAATAATAGTGAAGATGATCCAAGATCTCAGAATAAAGAATGAGGGCACAGATCGAGAAGATACAAGAAATGTTTAACAAAGACCTAGAAGGCTAAAGAACAAACGGAGATGAACAATACAATAACTGAAATGAAAAATATACTAGAAGGAATCAATAGCAGAGTAACTGAGGCAGAAGAACAGATAAATGAGCTGGAAGACAGAATGGTGGAAATCACTGCCATGGAACAGAATAAAGAACAAAAATGAAGACAGTCTAAGAGACATCTGGGACAACATTAAAATATCAACATTTGCATAACAGAGGTCACAGAAGGAGAGAGAGAAAGGACCTGAGAAAATATTTGAAGAGATATTAGCTGAAAAATTCCCTAACATGGAAAAGGAAACAATCACCAAAGTCCAGGAAGCTCAGAGAGTGCCAGGCAGGATAAACCAAGGAGGAACACACCAAGACACACAGTAATCAAACTGACAAAAAATTATTTGATATTGATTTATATGAGCTGTTTATATATTTTGGATATTAACCCCTTCTCAGTCATATCATTTGCAAATATTTTTCTCCCATTCAGTAGGTTGCCTTTTCATTTTGTCAGTAGTTTGCTGTGCAAAAGCTTGTTAAGTTTATTTGGTCCCAATTGTTTATTGTTGCTTTTGTTTCCTTTGCCTTAGGACACAGATCCAAAAAAATATTGCTACAATTTATGTCAAAGAGTATCCTGCCTATGTTTTCTTCTAGGAGTTTTATGGTTTCTGGTCTTATATTTATATTTATATACATCTTTAATCCATTTTGAGTTTACTTTTTGTATATGCTGTGAGAAAATGTTCCAATTTCATTCTTTTACATGTAGCTGTCCAGTTTTCCCAGCACCACTTACTGAAAAGACTGTCTTTTCCTCATTGCATATTCTTGCCTCCTTTGTCATAGATTAATTGACCATAAGGGTATGGGTTTATTTTTGGGCTCTCTATTCTGTTCACTGATCTATGTGTCTGCTTTGTGCCAATACCATACTGTTTTGATTACTGTAGCTTTGCAGTATAGTCTGAAGTAAGGGACCATAATACCTCGGTTAATTCTTTTTTCTTAGGATTGCTTTGGCTATTCAGGGTCTTTTGTGGTCCCACATAAATTTTAGGATTATTTGTTCTAATTCTGTGAAGAATGTCATGTTTATTTTAACAGGTATTGCATTAAACCTATAGCTTGCTTTGGGTACTGTGGTAATTTTAACAATATTAATTACTCCAGTCCATGAACACTGGATATCTTTCCATTTCTTTGTATCATCTTCAATTTCCTTCATCAATGTTTTATAGTTTTCAGAGTATAGGTCTTTCACCTCCTTGCTTAAGTTTATCTCTAGGTATATTATTCTTTCTGATACAATTTTAAATGGAATTGTTCTCTGGCTTTCTCTTTCTGATAGTTCATTATTAGTGTACAGAAAAACAACAATAATAAACATGTATATTAATCATGTATCCTGCAACTTTACTGAATTCATTTATTAGTTCTAATAGTTTTTTGGTGGAGACTTGAGGGTTTTCTATATATAGTTTCATGTCATCTGCAAATAGTGACAGTTTTACTTCTTCCCTTCCATTTTGGATGCCTTTTATTTTTCTTTCTGATTGCTGTGGCTAGGACTTCCAATACTATGTTAATAGAAGTGGCAAGAGTGGGCATACTTATCTCATTCCTGATTTTACAGGATAAGCTTTTAGCTTCTTATGTTTTTATTCTTTATTAATACTTCCATTTTGTTCATACACCATTATCTTGACTTTATCCACATCTTGTTTTAGCTCTTTAAGCATCTTTAAGATAGTTGTTTGAAAGTCTTTGCCTAGTAAGTCAGCCATCTTCTCTTTTTAGGGATAGTTTCTATTGATTCATTTTTCTCCTATTTCTTTATAAGCCTTGTGATTTCTTTAAAATATGGACATTTGAATCCCATAATGTGGTAACTCTGAAGATCAGATTCTCCCTTTTCTCCAGGGTTTGCTATTTTGTTTTGTTTCACTTTTGATTGTTTTATGGTGTCTCTGTGCCAGTAATCAGCCTGAGGTGTAGATTTAAGGTCTTCCTAGGTCTCTTCTGAGTCTGTGTTTTCCTGGGCATACATGGTGACTTTCTAAATCTCCCACTATATATTGATGCTTTTGAACAAACATATATGGCCCCCAAACGGGTAAAAAGTAAAAAATGAAGGGGGACAATTTCTTCAATGCCCTGGTAGTCCTTCAGCTGTTAGGAAAGGTACTTACAACAATGGGGGAGTGGGAGTGCAACAATGGCTTCCTGCCTCTGCACCTGTGCCTCTGCAATCAGAAGCAGCAATCAGCATCAGAGCATAAATACCTGCTATGGTGGACAGGGCCCACACTGGCTCCTGCAAGCAGCATGCAAGTTGCTCCAAGAATTTGTGCGCAGCTGTCTGCCATGGGGCTAGGGGTGACAGATGGAGAGCCACTACTGAACTAAGAGCTAAAATTGACTTATAATAACCATGATTTGCTGTATAACCCATCCTCTGGAAGTTTCAAGCTTTCAATACACTCCAGAGTTCCAAAATAGGTTCATCAAACAAATTCTGCCAGTACATCTTTAATCTCAGCTAATGACTTTACTTCTTATTTCACTAACAAAATATTCAATGTATTTAATCAAAAGAATAATTCTATATTCTTCCACCACTGTATCTGCTTATGCAGTAGCATCTGTCCCTAGGTATTTTGTCTTCTCCTCTGTTACTATAGATGAGCCCTACCACTGGCATACTGTGTTCCATCCCCTCTCTTCTCTCAGACATTGCCCCAGAATCCAGGAGTTCTTCCCTTTTTCTCCTCCATCATCACTTTTTTCCCTCATACTGGAACTTTCCAATTAGCATAAAAAATATTGTATTTTAATTTATCACTTAAAGGAAGAGAACCCTCCCCTTGACCCCACACTCTCCTCCATGCATTAACCTTTATTTTTTCCTTTGTTTCAAAGAAAAACTCTTTAAAAGATTTTATGTACTCACTGTCTATAATTTCATGGTCACCTTCTCCCACAAACCCTCTCCAATTAGAATTTAACTCCTTCCATTCTACCAAAACTATTGTTATCATCAAAGACCTTCACACTGCCTAACTCAATGGCCAATTATCCACCATTTTTTAACTGACCAACCAGCTACATCTAATACGGTTGATCATATTCTCCTCCTGCATCCATCTTCATCCCTCCCTCCCTTCCCTCCTTCTTTCCTTCCTTCCTTCCTTCCTTCCTTCCTCCCTTCCTTTCTCCCTTCCTTCCTTCCCATCTCTATCTCTCTCTCTCTCCTCATCCCTTCTTCCCCCCTTCCCTCCCTCTC